TTTTTTTTCTTCTGAGAAATACTTTCAAAGAAATGTTTTTGCCTTTTTTTTATTTTTAATCATTTAAATTTTTAACACAATACCTATATTAGTAATAGAATATTGGAAAAGAAAAAGCGTTGAACAATTTTTAACAGCATTATTTCTATAAAATGCATCAAATAATTGCAAATTTTTTTTTTTTTTAGAACAAATGTACTTAAATTTGAAATGATATATATGCATATACATAAAATTATATACATGAATAATCGTATATAATATTGGAAATAATATGATGTATTAACTTTTCATTTCTATTTTTTTATTTGTTTTCTAAAAATTTACTTTAAATCAAAAATGATTTTAACATTCAAATAGTTTCAATTTCATATGCTAAATATTACGTTTATTAAAAATATTGCAGGAATTATTAATTCCCCTGACAAATCATTGTATAAATTTGTATATAATTATTTAAAGGAATATAAAATTTATCGTCATACTATTTTTAGTACTAAAATATTTGAATTTCATATATATATATATATATATTAAAATATAGGAATTATTGGTTTTTCTAATATCTTTTATGTAAAATTAAGCAGAAATATTCAAGAAAATATGAATTTTTCATCATACTAATTTTTTTTTCTAAAAAAAAAGAAATTGTTTAATTTAAATTAAAAATTTCAGTGATGAGTTGGGCGATACAACAAATAACATTGTATACAATTTGCATTCCTGTAATTTTTGCATTATGTATTTTGGCAGCATTCTTTAACATATTGGTATTATTAGCACGAATTCAAATTAAAAATCGTAATGGAGCATTGGAATTAACATTTTCCTTAGCTGTATCAGATATTTGGACATCGATTGTTATCGTTGTATCATTATTTCGGAATTCATATATGCCTGTTGTATTGGGTGTAAATTATTCATCCGTATGTTTCTCACTTACTTTAGAGGTAATCAAATTTTTATTATATTCCTATTATTTTATTTAATTTTAAAATTAAAAAAATAGAAAATAAAATTTTTTCCTTACAAAATTATACAAATAAAAATGTTCAAAATTGCAAATTACACCAAAGAAAAAAAAAACTTTTTCTTTTTAAATTTTCAGAAATACATCAATCAATAAATGAAAATATATCGTTTTCGCTTTTTTTTTCTTTTTTTTTCATTTTCTTTTAAGTAGTCATTGAATAATCTTGGTGTGAGAAAAATTTTTTTGCTAACTTTTATTTTGCACATACTTTTCCTATCTGAGCATATTATAACATTTTTATATTAATTAATATTCGAAAACTAAGTTTACTCTATCCTTTGGCTAAATAAACGAATAATTAATATTTAAAAATTAAATTTACTCTGTCTTTAGGCTATCCATGAATCATTTTATTAATTCGGTATTTCATAAGTTTATCATATAGCTTCTCCTAACTCAATTGGAAATGAAGTAAAAGTAATAAAATTAAATATGAAATGTTCCATAAGATAGTTTTGTTAGACTTATTAAAAAAAAAAAACTAAACAAAATTAAATTAACATTTAATGATTATTCTGCAACAATATACATGAAATTAAGCATTCATCGAGCATTTTTCAATATCATTTACTGTTTGTTAACTCATTTATCTTAAAAGACCTTCTAATTAAACTTATAAATATGATTAACTATTCAAAAAAAAAAAAAGAAAAAAGAAAAAAAGCTTAAAAGAGCGATTATTCGATCGGGAAGTTAATATGCAAATTAAAAGTATGATTTCAAAAATTTTAAATTATTGAATTTAAAATTACTATTTTTTCTTTTTCATCTTTTTTTTTTTGAAAAAAAAACAACTGAAATGATAAAAAACAGAAAAAATTATCATTGAAATATGGATAATTTTTATTAAATCAACTAAATTTTAAAATCCTTTTTTTTCGTTTGTTTATTACAAATTCTTTTCAATAATACAAATTTACAAAATTTTTTTTTTTTCTTCAGGCATTTAGAACAGGTGGATTATTAACCGGTCTTCTTCATTTATGTACTTTAGCAGTTTATCATTTAATATCGATTACACATCCGTTCAATCATGGGAAATTATTAAATCAATATAGGAGTCGAATAATTGTTTGCCTAATTTGGTTTTTACCACCATCACTTCTTTTATTATACTTTTCCGCTTGGCCTAATCAAGGATATCGAATTAAAAATTGCTCAGTGGTGGAATTTTATGATATGCTTTATTTTCGAATGATAATTTCAATTTTGATTGTTGCACTTATGTTATGTACTGGATTGATGTATTGGAAGTTACTCAGGAAGCTAAATGAAGTTTGTCAAAGCTTAACTTATTTATTCAATTCAAAAAAAAAATTTTTTTTCTTTTTTCCAAATCAGATTAAATTTCATGTTTATCAATTTTGCACATTTAATGCAAGCAAATAAAAAAAAAGCGAAAAAATGTTTTTTTTTCTTTTTAACCTAATTAATTTATGCAGTTATTTTTGTTCAAATTTAATTGCAAAAAGTATCATAATTTTAATGGAATTTGTTGGCGAATGTATTTGAAATAATAAATTTTACTAATTGGAAATTATTTAATTAAATGAATTAAATAGTAACAATTAGTAATGTGTAAATTTGTTTCTTTTAAAAAAAAATAACATTTTTGAATAAAAAAAAAACAAAAAAAAACGAAATAACAAATAACACAATGATTTATTCGTTTTAAAAATTAAAACAAATAAATTTTAAACTTGGAAAAAATTTTTAAATTTAACTTAATTTTAATTGTAATATTATTCGTTAAAAAAAAATTTTTACTAATAGCTTTTTAAATTTGTTTTTTCTTTTTTAGTCTTTTTCAAAATCTATTACAACAATACGTAAACAACGTATAGTGATAGCATCAGGCCTTATTTTTGGAACATTCGTCATAGGTTGGTTACCGGCATCATTACTTTATATACTTACTGCGCAAAATATGCCACTTTATCATATCAAAAGTATTTGGTTGAATATATTTGCACTAACGTCATTAATTCTAATTATGATTAAATCAATCACTAATCCAATTATCTATGCTACCAGGTATATTTTGTTATCAATTTAAAAAGAAAAAAAACTTTTTACTTTTTCATTTTTCTTTTTTATTTTATTTTTTTTTTGAAAAATGAAAGAGACAAACAAAAGTTTTAAAAAAATTACAATTTTGTTATATTTTTAAAATTTTGGCAAAAAAAAACTGAAAAAATTTGTTTATTTATTCATTTATTTTTTTCGCTTTTTATAATTAATGGACAATTACAAAAGGAAATTACACTTGCAAAAGTGAAAATATAAAATTTTAAATTTGAAAAATTTTTCTTTTTTTGATATGCATTAATAAAATAATTGTTAATGTGAAGCAAATTTTTACTCATTAGAAATGATTTTTTTTTCTTAAAGATCGAAATTATTAATTCATTTCAATTTTTTTTTTCGCTTTTCAGAATTCCAGAAATTCGACATTTAATCGCACAATGGCGAAATCATGTCGAAATTGGCAGGAATAAGCTTAAAAATAGCAAAAGGAATTGTCAAGAACATGAAACAACATTTTGCAAAATTGAAAAGCATAGAAATGAAATGCTGGATTAAATTGGAAATGAAAGTTTGAATCTTTGGACAAATTGGAATTAGATCAAATCTGTAATGTGTATTCTTGTCCTATTCAATTTTCTAATTTTTTTTTATAATTTAATTCCAATGAATGAAATCGATTAAAAAGCTTAGCTATGGTATTTTATCTGCAGGAAAATTTAATTGTATTTAAAGAATGTAATTGAGCTTTAATCAAGAATGTAAACGAATATTGAAACTTTCGAATCGATTAAATTATCAATCATTATTGCAATTATTTCCTGCAAAATCATAATGTTCTTTGAAATGATAATAAAATTATCGATTAGAAAGGCTAATAATTGATTAAAATTCTGCTAAAATTTATGCAAATGTGATCAGCATATACATATTTGATTATTATGTTCAGTATGGAAATTTGCATATTTGAATGATGCTATATGCTTTAATGCTATATGCTATATGCTATATGCAGCATATATGCTATATGCTGAATGATGCTATATGAAATATGCTTTAAAATATAAATTGTTACATTTCAATATTTTAAGTGTTTTAGCATAACACCAAAAAAAGACTAATATTTTTATTAGTCTAAAATTTGAAATTTGTTTAAGAAATAATTTTTGAGTTCAAACATTAAAATGTTCAATTTACCTGAAAAGTTTTTTTTATTAATTAATTAGTTAAAAATTAAAAATGTATCAAAAATATTCGCGAATATTATATTCAAATTCAAACTAACATTTACAAAAATTGATTAATATGAAACAATTTGCAATAGCTATTTTTATAAAACAACTTTGTTAATTGAAATTTCGCCATAAAATTATGAGCATTTAAAAATTAAAACAGAGCGTACGAAAGCGTACGAAATACATACGAAAATTTAGCTAAAAAAGTTTTAAAAAAAAAGTTATTTAAAAAAAAAAGGACTCGAGAAAAACTGTGACATATCCGTGATGTCATTTAATACAATCATTTTTCAAATATTATTTATGATAATTCAATCGATACAGTCGAATTTTTGCATATACAAATAAATTATTCAATATTGATCTGTTGAAAATATTAAATCGAATCAAAACAATGCTTGAATTTGAAAAATTAGTTGAAATTGTTGCCGTGAAGTGGTACAATTAATGAATGTTTTAATGAATTTTCTTTCGAAAATAAAAGTCAGAAAATGAAAAATTGAAATGTGAAATAATCAATTTATAAAATTTCTTTTTCCTCTTTTTTTTATGATAAATATAAGTTTTGAATTTTTCAAATTTTTTTTATCAAATAAAAAAGAACAAATAATTTAAAAGAGAATTTTTCTCCCCTAAATTTAAATTTTTAAATGCAATCGAATTTTAAAAATTTTAAAAGTTATGAAATAATTCATTTACTTCAATGCAAATTTCAAGAGTTCTTATTTTTGAATTTTTAAAATTTAAAAAGCTAAATTTGGTCTATAAAAATGATTGTTATAATGGAATTTTTGTCATTTATAGTACAACACAGAACGGTAGTGGTTTGATTATTTATTGCTAGTAGTTTAGAGAATTGATGGCGGAGAAATCTCCTAAAGTATCC